TTATTTATTTATTTATTTATTTGAGACAGTGTCTCGCTCTGTCACCCAACCTAGAGTGCAGTGGCATAATCATAGCTCACTGCAACCTCGAACTCGTGGGCTCAAGTGATCCTCCTGCCTCAGCCTCCTGAGTAGCTGGGACTACAGGTGCACACCACCATGCCCAACTAATTTTTTTAATTTATTGTAGAGATGGGGTCTCACTATGTTGTCCAGATTGGTCTTGAACTCGTGGGCTCAAGTGATCCTCCTGCCTCAGCCTCCCGAGTAGTTGGGACTACAGGTGCACACCACCATGCCCAACTAATTTTTTTAATTTATTGTAGAGATGGGGTCTCACTATGTTGTTCAGATTGGTCTTGAACTCTTGGGCTCAAGGGATCCTCCTGCCTTGGCCTCCCAAAGTGCTAAGATTACAGGAGTGAGCCACCACACCTGGCTTGATCTCTATATTATATATGAGCACAGGCCTCAGAGAGGTTGAGTTTTTTGCTCAAAGTATCATCATTTACCTCCAGACCTGCACCTGGATTTTATTTATCACAGTGTTGTTATTATTCCATTAAACTTTTATGATTTTCCTTTCAGTAATCTTAAAATTATATTCTGGTCTTCAGTTTTGATTCTTGGCTAATCAGTTTTATTTTTCTGCTTTAGTTGTTGGAAGTCTTTCTGAAATGTTTTCCAAACTTACTATCTTGAACTGAGCTTTTAGCATTGTTAATATCAGCTGAGCAAATGACAAGTGATTCACTTCAAGCATGCATTTTATTATACAATAAAAGCAGAAATGGAGTATACAAAGAATCTTCAGAATCTTTTCTGCCATTGAAATGCATCACATGTGGTTTTTCTTACATATGTAAGTTAATATGAAATGTTAGTGACATTTTAAACAAGAGAAGTAAAACAAATTAATATACTTAATTCTTAATCGTGCTTAATTTTTGTGGGCATTTTTGTTTTGTTTTCTAGTGGCTTTTCATGGCCTACCACTGAAAATCAAGAAAGAACCCCACAGTCCATGTTCAGAACTCGGCTCTGCCTGCAGTCAAGAACAGCCCTTTAAATTCAGCTATGGAGAAAAGTGCCTGTACAATGTCAGGTAAAGCAACCAGGAGTATGTATGTAAAATGGTGGTTCTTACTGAAACCAAAAATCCAGAATAATATAAAATCTCAAGTCATATCGTGTGAGTTACGTCTTTATTATGTAACAAGCTAATTAGGTAATGCATTTAGCAGAACTCTAAAGAACCATTTACCATCCAATCACACACTTTTAGATTCATTTTAAAGCAATAATTTTCATCCAAATTGTTAGTTGCTTTTCTACAGTAGTAGTGATGCATCTTGGGTTTGAAAAAGGGGTCTTATTTGGCACAAGCAGCTTTTGAAAGTTCCCATTAGAATGAATGCATTATGCACTTTAGATAGAGAGATTGTAGGAAAAAAATATGAAACATTTGGCAGGTCTAAGCAATACATTAGTTATCTGACAGGCTTTGCCGATGATCTATAAGATGAGTTCATGGACAAGTGCAATAAAACTAGAATTTCATAAGGCTTAGCAGAGACTATTATCTATTAAAAAGCCAGTTGTTCTTCTAATGATAATAAAGGGTGGTGTAGTAAAAGTACATTGTTCATTTGTTAGAAAATTTTATAACATATATGTTCATTAAAAACCGTTCACAGTAAATTGCATGCTGCTACTTTTCATATTGGTCCTTAATTGCATAAAGAAAAAGTTGGCACCGTCTATTAAGTATTATTACTCTCAATTATAGTAGAAACTTAGTTCTTAGAAGGAGTTAGTTGGGAAGCTTCTAAAAATGATTACAAATATTTGCACTGTTTTATAAGTTATTATCAATTCAAGTTCATAGTACATTATAATCCGAAGGGGTCTCATATGTTTATTATACATACTGTTTATTTCAAAATATATAAGATGCAAGAAACTACGCATTGTGCCATGGTGGCAGCTGGCCACAGCTTGGATATTCTATTACTATTTGTTCTTGCAAATTTATCTTTTATATGTGCTCTTCTAAGAGGTTCATCAGAGCCTAAAATCATGAGGTAGCTAAATTAAAACTGGAAAGCTTTTATAAAAAATATCTCTTATAGAAGCTAACTATTAAAGCATACTGAGTTCAGATAAGATGATATTGATCAATCTGAGTTTTACTTTATATTTTAGTTTTATTTTTGCATTTTTTCCTTACAAATACTGTGTATCCACAGCACAATTATTTAACATATTGAGGAATTTGAATCATTGAATCAGTTAGATATAGAATTGTTATTGCATTTCAGCATTGATCAGAATTGTGACTGCGAAATCCCCACTGTTTTATATAACATACCTGCCATCCTTAAATTAACAGTGGAGGAATAGCCTGAATATTTTGAGTTTCTTCTTGGGGACCAATAATTCCCACACTGATGTATGGTATATGCAATAATTCTAGTACTTCCATCTCTATACAAACAGTATGATTTAGTACAACATTTCATGGGAGGGGAAGTAATATCACAGGACAGAAAATGCATCATTTTTTTCCCGTCATTCATGGAAGTGAGTCAGATGAACCATTTTATAAAGAACTGGGGTTTTATTCAGAAATATTGGTAAAGAACATAGGTAGAACCAAACCTAAGGTTCTTTTCATGAGTACTGTTGACTTTGCTTTAAAGCAAGAGTAGCCTTACGCAGCACACACTCCTTTACTTGTGTAAATTGTTTTTGCACTTGGATATAGTTCTGTTGTATTGATGGTGTAACATAATAAATTATTACATGTCAATTCAAAAAGAAATATTTCCTTTTAATGAAAAAATGTATAATGATGAATGTTTTTTTATTTTAAAAAGAAATACAACATTTTAACCTAGAAATGTCCTGCTGTTCAGAAATTTAAATAAAAGTTGGTTTTTGTAAATTATTTTATAAATTACAAAAATTAGATAAATCACATTTCTGAAAGCTTCCCATAGGAATGTGATTTAAATTCATAATATAAAATCAACCATACTCATTTTATTCTTTTGTAATTGTGTTTAGAAGTTAGATTTTAATAGGATTTTATTCTTAATAACATTATTTTGTACTCATTCTTATACTCCAAGAAAGTATAATTTAAATATATCAGAGACATTTTAATTTACGTCATTAATCTTCATTATCTCATGTGAGGAAGTTAATGCCAAGCGTCATTTATT